GGACATTGTATATAGTAACAGCAACATTATTCAATGATCAACTTTGATAGACTTAGCTCTTCAGTTCCAAAAGACTCATGATGGAAAATGCTATCCGCATCCAGAGAAAGAACTATGGAGTTTGAATGAAGAGTGAAACATGCTATTTTCCCTTTTTTTTTCTTTCTCGTGGCTTTTCACTGATTGTTCTTTCATAACATGACTAATGTGGAAATACGCTTAATGTGATTGTACATGTGCAGCCTACATCAGATTGCATGCTGTCTTGGGGAGGGGGAGAGTCAGGAGGGAGAAAATTTAGAGTTCAAAAATTATAAAAGTGAATGCTGAAAACTAAAAATAAATAATGATAATAAAAACTATCCTGCCTATCTGTGCTTCCCTCTGACCTTCTTTGTGTTCCCCTTTGTGTATTTTTAAAACCAGTTTCCCTACAGAAACCAACAACCTTGTAATAAATAAACACAGTTAAACAAAATTAATCCACACTGTATCCATGTCCAAAAATGTGTCTCTTTTTTCACATTGAGTCCTTCACCTCTCTATCAGAAGGTAGAGAACATGTTTCATTCTAGTTCCTTTGGAGATGAGGTTGGCCATTGTATTGGTCAGAGTTCTTGAGTCTTTCAAAGTTGTTTTTCTTTACGATGTTATTGTCTTTGTTTTAGTTCTATTTTAACTTCTTACAGCACAATAATATTCCATTACATTCCTGTACCACAGTGTGATCAGTTATTCCCCAAACCCCTAAAAGGCAATATATGGCACCCCCTTAAATTCTAATTTTTCCCTTCTCTTCTCCACCTCTGCCTTCACCTTCCCTAAACACAGGATGTTTGTTTTGTTGTGCTGTTCCCTTTTCTGCACCATCTTCCCCCTTTATCCCATCCTGCCTGTCACCCGCTGGTTTCCTTGTGGAGTTTGAGGCATTTCTCTACCAAACTCTGTGTGTGTGTAACTCTCCTTTGCCCATTTCAGAAAGAGTGCATTTCCTCTGATGCCCACTCCACCCATTTCTTCCTCCATTTTGTATATTCTTCTTCCTATCGCACCTAACTATGAGAAATAGCAAGGTCCACCCCCTTCTTCCTCCTTTCTACACCATGTATTCCTTTACCTTCCCTTTTCTTTAACCCTCTTCAGACCCTAGGGAAAGAAGAACCAATCTGCTTCTAAAACCTCTATTTTTCTTATTTTATTCCTGCAATATCTTTTGAAGAGGTTAAAGTTTTGAAGGGACACTGGTTTTTTTTCCCCTCTATTAGAACCTTAGCATTATATCATCATAAGCCCCCTCTAGTTGCTAAATTTGCTTTTCTGGGTTTCTCTCGATTATTTTATTTTCATTTCGAAGTGTCTATTTAGCTCTGGCCTTTTCATCAGAAATAGTTGAAAGTGTTCTGTTCCGTTAAAGGGCCATTATTTCCTCTTATACACTCAACTTTGCAAGGTAAATTATTCTAGGTTGCAAGCCTATCTCTTTTGCCTTTTGGATATTGTATCTGAACCCTCCTTTGTCTCTCTCATCATCCTAAAACAGGTGCTTATTACCAGTCTCCTGGATTATTACAATATCTTCCCAATAGGTCTCACTTTTCTCTTCTCTTTCCAACCTGGAAAGGTTGCATAGGTTTGGACCCATCACTATTCTGCTCAAAACTCTGTACAATTCAATAAATATTTATTAGCCACCTATTAGATACTGGGTATTCTGTCGGAGGCTAGGGATACAAACACAGCAATGAAACAGATTCAGCCCTCAAGGTGATTCTTTGATCTCAGACACTTAGCTGTCTGACCTTGGACAGATCATTTAAATGTCTCTGGGTCTCAGTTTTCTTATTTGTAAAATGAGGGAATTTGATTCTATGATCTCTCTGGTCCATCTTCACTCTAAGTCTATAATCCTATGCGGTTACATGGTGGGGGGTGAGTGGAACCCTGTTACCTCTTGATTAAATTTTAAACTCTTCATTTTGGCATTCTTTCTCTACACAATCTGATGCCACTATACTTTTTCATCTTTAATATCATTTTGATCTTCATCTCAAGAACTACAGTCAACAGAGACCACTTAGGGAATTATAGCTTTAGAGTTGAAAGAATTCTTAGAGGCAGTGGAATCCAACCTTCTCATTTTACAGCTGAGGAAACTGAGGCTGAGAGAGGTTGACTTGCCCCAGAGTCACAAGCTAATACTTATCTGAGGGCAAGATGTGCACTCAGGTCTTCCTGTCTCCAAACCTGGCATTCTATCCACTGTGCCACCATCTTGCCTCCTCCATACATTTTGTTGATATAGTTTCCTATTCCTGGAATACTCTCTTCTCTCATTTACAATCTTTTTTTTTTTTTTGATACCTTTTGTTTTTTACATCACTTTCATTTCCAAATCTATCTCTTCTCCTTCCTGTATACCTGGAGCTATCTTTTGTAACAAAGATTTAAAGAGGAAGAGAAAAAACGTAGTTCAGCAAAACCAACTAGCACATGAATCCATTTGCCTGTCCAGTGTATGTAATATTCCACACCCATAGTCCCTTGCTTTTTCAAAGAAAAGGAGGTGCACTTTCTCAGTTTTCCTACAGGGCCAAGCTTGGTCATTATACTAACATAGCATCCAATATTTTGTTTTTATTGTTCTTTTGATTTATATTTTATAGTCAGTCTTGTAATTAGTTTTCCTGCTTCTTCTAACTTCACTTGGCATTGGCACACTGAATTCTTCATATTTATCCTTTATTCTTGTGTTATAAAATTCCCCAAGTCATGTCCCATAATTTGTTGATCTCTTCCCCAATTGGTGATCATCTACCTTTTTTTTCCCTCTTCTTTATTACCACTAAAAAATGCTGCTATCAATATTTTGGTGGATATTTCTTTCTGTTTTTGACTTCCTTGAGGTAAATGTTTAGCAGTGAGATCTTTGCTATGTCAGAATGCATGGCCATTTTAGTTTAAAAAAAATCTAAATTACTTTCCATAATGGTTAGAAAAATTTACAGCTCTACCAACATTGTATTAGTGCATTCAGGCTTTCGGCATTCCCCTCCAGTATTGACTATTCCCATTTTTTTTTCATCTTTGCCAATTTTCTGCATGTGAGGCAAAACCTCAAGGGGTTTCGATTTGCATTTGGAGCAACTTAAATTGTTAAGACTTTGCAATTCTTTTTTCTTCCTTTCCTTCCTTCCTTCCTTTCTTTCTTTCCTTCTTTCTGTCTTTCTCTTTCTCTGTCTTTCTCTCTCCCTTCCTCCTTCCTTCCTTCCTTCCTTCCTTCCTTCCTTCCTTCCTTCCTTCCTTTCTTCTCTGTTATTTCATATATAGGGCAGCTAGATAACTACTGGATAGAGCCTGGAGTCAGGAAGACTCATCTTCCTGAGTTCAAATCTGGTCTCAGACACTTACTAGCTATGTAACTCTGGGCAACTCACTTAACCCTGTTTGCCTCAGTTTCCTCCTTTGCAAAATGAACTGGAGAAGGAAATGGCAGACCACTCCAGTATCTTTGCCAAGAAACTCCAAATGGAATCACAAGGAGTCAGACATGACTCAAAAATGAAAGTTCATATACAGTAAACATATATTAAACAAGATAATCAGATATAATATTTGATGTACATATATATATATATATATATATATATTTTCCCCCAAACATCACTTTCTCTTCTTATCCTACTTGTCTTGGTTTTGTTAACGCAAAAGCTTTCAATTTAATCTTATTAAAATGATCTATTTTATCTTTTGTGATTGCTTTTATCTCTGATTTGGTTATATATACTGCTCTAAATGTACAAAACACAGGCATGTGTACAAATACAAGAGCATGAAACCTATATTTCTACATGCTTAGAAAATATACAAATTAAACACAAAACTTACACTTATGTATATACCTACACAGTACATTCTTACATTGGTCATGCATACCAATCATATGCATAAGGTAGGTACTTCATATTTATTGACTGATGCACACCTGTACACACATGCACATATATGCTTGTGTGTGTTCACACATATACATATAACATACAAATCGATCAGTGTATGCACAATAAATCAATCAATAAGAATTTAATAAATACTTGCCATGTGCCAGGCAATACTGATACAAAGACAAAAACAAAAGTTCCTGGCCTCAAGGAGCTTACACTTTAACGACTGGGGCATTGTAAACATATAGGTATATACAACAAGCATACAAAGCAGGCATCAAGTAACTTTAGGGGGGAATAGTGGGGCAAGAGAAGACCTCCTGCAGAATTCAGCACTGAACAGCCCAGGCAAAGGTGTGGAGATGGGAGATGGAGTTGCATGTATGAGTCGTAGCATGCAGGCCAGTTTGGCAGGTGGGAAGGGCCTGGGTTGTGAAGAGCTGTCAATGCTGAGCAGAAGTGGACACGTGGCCGGGCCAAGGGGGGGGGGGACGGAGCTTGGGCGACCTGGAGATGCCCAGAAACTAAGGAGGGCAGTTTTGGCTGAAGGAGGCAGTCGGCAACCGGTGCGGAGGCTTGGAAGACAATGAGGAAGAGGAGGCAGCGGCCACGCAAGCACGCCGCCCACAGTGTCTGGCCTCCCACGTGCAGACGCCCAGAGACTGCTTCTGTACCCAGGGCAATATACACACAGTTTCTAAAAATAGGCTCGGGCCTCCTAATAAGGTCAGCCATTGGTGGACCACACCGCACGTGCTTCCCTGATAAACCAATCAGGGCGCCTGTCTCCGCCCCTCCCTTCCCCGCCCTGCAGTGTTTTGGCTCCTCGGAGGCTCAAACAGGCCGGACGCCTCTGCGTCGGGGAGGCAGAGTCAGGAGTCGGTTAGGCCAATCAGACTCGAGGCTCCCGGACGTTCGGCCCGAGGCCCCGACCCCATCGTGCCGGAAGTCCCTCCTCCCGCCAGAGGCACTTCCTGTTTGGTAACCAAGGGCGCCGAGAGGTTGCTAGGGCTGCCGGGGCTGCCTGTGAGGAGCCGGCTCCGACTTCGGGGAGTTGAATCCGCTCGTTTGGGGTCTCGGCGCCGCCGCCGCTGCCGCCAGCATGAGCAGGGACTTCCTGGCCGAGCTGCACTGGGAGGATGGCTTCGCCATCCCCGTGGCCGATGAGCACAACAAGGAGCTGGAGGCTACGGTGAGCGGGCTCTGGGGCGGGGGGGGGGGGCGGAGGGCAGACGGAAGCCGGCCCGGGTCACGATGTCGGGGGTCGAGGGTCTGGCGTCAAACGATTGAGGCTCGGTGTCTGGGGTCTGGGGACTGAGGCCGGACGGGGTGGTGGCGGGGGGGACGGGGTCCTGCGACCGGGGGTCAGAGGGCAGAGGCCGGGCCGGGTCAAGGGTCCGATGTCGGGAGGTCAGAGATTCTAGGGCCAGGATTCGGGTTCAGGTGTCCAGGGACTGAGGCTGGATTGGGGAGTCCTAGGGCCAAGGGTCAGAGGGCCGAAGTCGGGGATCCTGGGACTGAGGGTCAGGGAGCTATGGTCAGGAGTCCTGGGGCCAGGGGTCAAGTCGTAGGGTCTTGGGTTGGGAGGATGAAGGTGCTGAGGTTGGGGCTGCGGGGGTCCAGCGTCTAATGTCTGAGGTCTGGGACCCTGGGGGTCAGTGGGTCAGGGTCAGGAGTCCTGAGGACGGTGGTCCAAGGGTCAGGGGTATGGGGAATTGAGGTTGGAGGATCATGGAACTGGAGGGTCAAAGTGCCAAGTTTGGGGGTTTGAAGTCAGGGCCCTGGAATTAAGGTTTGAGATCTGGAATGGGGGTCAGAGGGCCAGGGTCAGGGGCCCCTGGGGATGGAGGCTGGGGGTCTAGGCTCAGGGAGTTCTGGAGCTGAGGTTTTGGGATGGGGGTCAAGGTTGGGGATCCTGGGGCCTGGGTTCAGATTCTTGGGTCAGGGGACCAAGGGAGGGGTTGGAGAAGGGGGCAGGGGAGGGTCTGGACAGCCCTGCTCCATTGGTGAAGAAGCCAGGAGCTCAGGTGGCAGATGTGTCCAGAATTCCTGCCATTCTGTCCTGTGTCTTTTTCTCTTACCCTAAGTCTGCCTTCCTTCTCTGCTTGCATTATTACAGCCCTTTAAATATTAAACCAACTGCTAAGAATGAATCAGTTTGGCATAGCAGAGAGTGGTGATGGACTTGGGTTTAGGAAACCTTGGGTTCAAATCCTGCCTCAGACACTTCTGGCAGTGTGACCTTGGGAAAGTCACTTAACCTTTCTTTGCCTCAGTTTCCTCATGTGTAAAGTAGGAATAATAATAACACCTCTCTCTTAGAGTTGTGAGGATCAAGTCAAATGAGGTAAGTTATTAAGTACTTTGCAAACCCTAAAGTGCCATATATACGTTGGTCCTTTGTATTGTTTATTTAGTGCCCACTAGGTATTAAACACTGGGGACAGACAGAAATTAAACAATATCTGCTCTAGATGAATTTCCATTCTCCCTGGTGACAGCATGTGTGTGTGTGTGTGTGTGTGTGTGTGTGTGTGTGTGTGTGTGTGTGTATGGGATATGAGCTGGACCTGGGATTTTATTGATAGAGAATCTTTAGTGAGGAAATTTCCTTTATCAGAACGGGTTGGAATCTTCTCCCCCACTTGGAGTCTTGCTTGTCCCTGGGGCTTTGAGAGATGAAGTGGTTTTTCCAGGATCAGAGTCACAGGCTGTGCTTGAATCCACTACATCCCATGCTGTCTCTTTGTAATTCACTGGTGTCCGACTCAATGACAGCTGCAAAACTCCCCAAGTCACCCTGAACCAGAATAAAATGTAATTGAGAAATGTTTAATGAAATAAAAATAATTCAATATTAAAATGATTAAATACTAACAGAACATTATTTGTGTAGGGATCTATTTCTCTTTCAGTTTGATACCACTGTGTCTAGTTCCTGTGTAAGTGCAGACAAAAATAGATAAAAGGTAATTTTATAGGAGAAGGCCCTGGAAGCTGGGATTAGTCTGCGAGATCAGAATTTTGGGAACAGGAACAGCAGAGGGCAGAATCAAGAGCCAGGATAATTTGGGCTTGATGTTAGGATGTTGGGAAAGCTTCCTAAGGATTAGATCTATTGTATATCAATAAAATTAACTTACTGTGAATAACTAGAAAGTTCTATTTTTGAGTTAAAAAAAATCAGTTCTAGAAAATTGACGATGAGGGAGCCCTGATGTGGAAGCCATTTATGGGAAAAGTGATTGTCTAGTTTTACTTGAACGAGTTTGTTTAACGTGAGCAGACCTTGCTGAAATAGCCAAAAGTACTACCTATCTTCGACTGCATAAATATAAGGATGTCTTTTGGGCCGTGGAAAGGTTCACTGAGTATAAAGTATGTAATGTTCTGGCTCTCTTTCCAAAGTGAGGGTCACTTCCCATGGAATGATGTCCCCCTGCTCTCTGCTCGTCACACCCCACGTGTGGTCTGTAGAATCCCAGGCTTCCTTCAACACTCAGCTGAAGCACCACCTTCTACGTGGGCCTGGCCTGTCCCTTCCCCCCTCTCACCCATCATCCTACATTTAGGTACTTCTTTGGGACCTCTTTTCTATGTACATATGTATGCACGTATCCAGGAACTGTTTCATTTCTGTCTCTGCATCCCCAGAGGGAATAAATAATAGAGGCACATCATAGGTGCTTGTTGATTGAGGATGTGTTCAATTCTGGGTCCCAAATCCTGAGAAGGATACTAACTAAAGTGTGCCCAGAGACCGTGTAGGGGACCAGAATGAAGAAGGGTCTAGAGCCTGGTGGAAGAGGAAAAGTTGAAAGAACTCGAGGCATTCACAGTTTTTAAACTGACATCTTATGTTTTTATGCAACCTTCATTTCCAAATGTATCCCCATCCCCTGCCTTCCCCATTCAGCCATCCCTTGGAACAGAGTGAGCAGCTTAGTGAAACATAGCCACACATCAGTTGAGTTTCATAGAATGTTCCACACCCACAGCTGGCCATCTTGGCAAGAAATTGAGACAAGTGCGTTTTTTCATCTCTGCTGGGGCCAAGCTTAGTCATTGTAGTTACATGGGGAAAAATAGTTTTTTAAGTATCCCCCCAGAATTGAGTGGGATTTTGGGAAACTGTCAAACCATCTTCTGAGAACTTTTTTTTTTTGGTAAAAAAAAAAAAATCAAATGTCACAAACTCCTTCCCTTGTCAAATGCTTTCCTGCGCACTTGTTTCTAGTGACTTACAAAAATATACAGCATAGGTTCAGAAGCAAGTTGTCAGCATGCTGTAGATGCCTGGTGGTCCTCTTCTGCTCTGTTCTGACGGCAGCCCAGGTATAACCTTTGCTTTGAACTGGAGGGGAGGAAGGGGAAACTCAGACAAACATCCTGTTGTTATGAGAGTTTGTTGGGTTTGCTCTGTGCCTGGAGGTGACCTTAGACTCACCCTACTTGCTGAAAGTCCTCATGTGCTTTCATTTGGGAATAATTTTGCCTTTTGGCTCTTAAGAATACAGTTTTTCAATGAGAAAAATACATTTTAGTCAAGGACCCTCTGACTCCTACATGTATGTAATTGATTTCCAGCCTACTTTCTGCTATGTTGATTTTCCCCTAGTTGTCATGAAATCACATAATTCTGCTTCATAATTAAAAAAAAAAAGAGTGGATTTTAGAAATCCAAATGCACATGTAGAAAAGGCCTTTGGGTCCTCCTGGGATTTTAGTCCTTGTGGCATATAAGCAGGTAAGATAGCTGCTCACTGGGGCTTTTGCTTACAGCTGCTGATGATGCAGAGTGAGAGGACAGCCCTGCAAGATGAGCTTTCTGACTACGAGGAGAGAATCAGCGCCATGAAGTGTCATTTAAAAAATGTCAATCAGGAGTTTACGTTCACCCAGGTAAGCAGGAGGGAGGGGCTGCTGGAACAGTGAGCTCCCACCGCTGAGCCCTGCCTGCTGTCCATCCGCCCACAGGATGAAGGACGAAGCCTCCATGGTCTTGGGAGGTTTCGTGAGCTCCAGCATGGCCCTTGAGCCTCATTTTTACTGGGTCACTCCCATGATCCTTTTCTTCTCTGGCAGACCATCTGCCTGCACTGATAGACCCTGGGATCCCTGGGGTGGAGCTGGAAGGGGCCTTCAGGGTTGCCTGGTCCAAACTTCTTGTTTCATAGATGAAGAATTGAAGTCCAGATTGGGTCAGTGAGTTACCCAAGCTTCTACAGGGAGTAAGTAGCAGAAGCGAGATTTGAACCCAGGCCCTTGGGTTCCAAGTCCGGAGTGGTTTTCACTGTTCTGTGCTACCAAAGGAGAAGCAGTGCATTCCGGTGCCTCCAGTTCCTCTCACTTCCAAGTCCTCCCTCTTTCCCTGTGCTTATTATTACAACAGATCAACCAACCAGGAGGGAAGGAGGCAGCGTGACAGCAAATAGCAGTGATACGTTTGGGTTTAGAAAGTCCTGGGTTCAAATCCTGCCTCAGATACTTCCTGGCTCTGGTGACCCTGGGCAAGTCACTTGATCTGTTTATCATTTGTTTTTCACATGACCTGCATTTCCCAATGTAGGATTTCCCCTCCCTTTCCAGTAGAAGCAGAGCCTAGGTCTCCTGAATCAGTCTAGGGTTTGTGGGGTAGGTGTGGTGGTGGGGGGCGTCTCTAGGAAAGAATGTTCCTTAGCCCAGTCCCCAGAGGCACCGGGGTAATGACAAAGGGTAAGAAAACAGGTTTTAGGCAAGAATCACCAAGAAACCTGAAAGCCTTACCAAACCATTGTCACAAAAACTAGATTTAGTGTTCAAGGCCTTTGGGGACAGCTCTGGTATGCCAGAGAGGTCTGAGCTGTTGCTACAGACTGGCATTTAAAGGGGTAGGCTTGGAGAGAGTGTAATGCACCTGTTAGTCAGGTTATTGCTTATGAGCCCATGAGTCGCTGACCCAGAATTCAAGAAGATGCCACCTTTGGCCTTGTTCTCTTTGTCTGGTCAGAACCCTTTTAAACTTGGTTTTGTGGGAGAATCTTCTAGAATTGGATTAGGAGAAATATGGAGCAGGAAAATTTTATTTTAAATCTGTCAGGTATGACTTGTGAATTTCAAAGTCTGACTTGAAGGTTAACTTTTTTGACTTGCTCTTGACCAGTGTTTTTTGGTCTAGACCAGTGATTTCATTAATGTGGGGAACTTGTGTTGAGGAATCTCCTTAGTCCAATGCCGATTGTCAGCTAGTCTGCAGATTAGAGGTTGAGGGAGTTTCATGGGGTCCTGAGAGGGTGAGTGACTTGTGAACCCAGCTCTTTTTGACCCTCGGGCTGGCCCCCTCTGGACACACTGCTTCTTGACCAACATTAACAGCATAAAATTCTTGTCATCAATATTTTCTCTTGATTTTGCTTCAGAGGTAAAACATTTCAAGACCACATACCTGATTGCGTAGGGCTCAAATGATCCCATAATGATGAAGTCTGACTGGGCACAGACTTGAGAGGGATGAGAAATTGGTCAGCAATACTTAGGCATTTCTTTTGAGGTCTATCACTTATCTTTGTGGGAGAGCATATCACAGATCATTTCATTTAGTATTAAAATTGAATGTTTTCTCTCTCCTGTAAATATTATTCCACAGTCTCTTTACAGAGCCAGAAAAAATGAGATTAACACAGAAAAACACTTAAAGGCTATTGCTTTGAGAGAAATGGGACGAGTGGGCAATGAGATTCGCCGAATGGAAAAAGAAATGGCTACAGTCAGAGAAAGGAAAGCTGAAAAGGAGGTACATGGTCTAATCTTATTTAATATTTTTATGCTATTGAGAATTTTCTGGTAAGATATTTTTCCCAATCTTTGTAAACAAAATGTACCATACTCATTTTCCAAGTGGAAGGAGTAGAGCTGTTAGGTTTTTTTTTGTATTTGTAAATTTTTTTTTTGTGGGCAGCAAAGACATGACGAAACTGTTCCCCAAAACTTACACAAATAAGTATAGAAGATTTATATATATATATATATATATATATATAGAGATATAGATAGATAGATAGATAGATAGATAGATAGATATATGTATACTGCAGGGAGGCAGGAACCTTGTTCTTGTTCTCTCTGTCTCTCTCTGTCTCTGTCTCTGTGTATGTATGTCTCCTCTCTCTTCTCTCTCTTTCCCTCTCTTTCTCCCTGCTTTCTTCCTCCTTCCTTGCCTCCCTCCACTCTCCTTCCTATTGAACTTTTAAAAAATTCTTTTTTTAAAAATAAGTTTTTATTGATATTACCTCTTTCTTCCTCTCCTCAGAAAGCCATCTCATATAATAAATAGTATTTTTAGAGTGGAAAAAAATTCAGCACATCTGATCAATTCTTCGAAAAAGTCCAGAAATATGTGCAATGTTGTAACACGTGGGAACCTCCCACTTTTATAAAGGGGTGGGTTGGGGGTGTCTTCTCAGAGCTCTTTATTCAAGTCCCATTTGATGTTTGTAATTTTGTTACATTTACTTTTGATTTGTTGGTGTGTGGTTCTTTCCATTTACATTGTTGCACTCATTGGGTATATTATTTTCTTGGCTCTGCTTACTTCACTATGCATCAGTTCATATAGATCTTTCCAGGCCTTTCTGTATTTATCACATATATCAGTTCTTAGAGAACAGAAGTATTCCATTACATTCAGGAACCAAAATTTGTTTAGCTCTTCCCCAACTGAGGGCGTCTGTTTTGTTTCAAACTCTTAGTTGTCACAAAAAAGTGATGCCATAAATATTTTGGAGTATTTGGGGACTTTTTGCTTATTGATAGCTTCTTTAGGGTACAGGCCTTGTAGTGGAGTCTCTTGTTCAAAGGGTAGAGACATTTTAGTCATTTGATTTTCATAATTCCAAATTGCTTTCCAAACTGGTTATATCATTTCACAACTGCACCAACAAAGTATTAGTGTCCCTATCCTTTCACAGCCCCTCCAAGTTTGAATGTTGCCATTTTTGCCCATTTATAGGGTATTAAGTGAAACCTCTGATGCACATTTCTCTTATTATTAGTGATTTCGACCTTTTTTCATGTGGTTATGAATTCTTTGCAGTTTTTTTTTTGAGAACTGTTTATATCCTTTGACCATTTGGAATGATTATTAGTCATATGTTTTTATTGACTGTTTATATATCTTGAACACCAACCCTTTATCAGAGAAATTTGATAGAAAAATGTTTTTCCATTAATTTTTGTTTGTATACAAGCTTTTCAGTCTCATGTAATCAAAACTATCTTTTATTTTTTGTAATTGCTTCTATGTCTTGTTTGGTTAAGAATGTATCTCCTGTGATTAGCTGTGAAAGGTATATGATCTGTCTCTTCTAATTTTTTATAATACATTTTTAATATTAAGTATTGATATTAAAATTTTATAATATCATTTAATGTTAAGTATTAATATTAAAATATTGAGTATTAATATTAATTTAATATTAAGATCATGAATCTATTTTGATAAGTCAGCTAGGTGGCACAGCTAGTAGGCACAGGCGTAAGGCCTGACGTTAGGAGGACTCATCTTCCCGAGTTCAAATCTGGCCTTGGACACTTACTAGTTGTGTGACCCTGGGCAAGTCATTTAATTCTCTTTGCCTCAGTTTCCTCATCTATAAAATGAACAGAAGAAAAAAAATGGCACACCGCTGTAGTGGCTTTGCCAAGAAAACCCCAGATGGCGTCATGGGGAGTCTGACATGACTGAAATGACCGGACAACAACAAACAACATCCACTTAGAATATCCTGCGGATTGCGATATAAGTTGTCAGTCTGAGCCCAATTTCTGCCAGATTGCTTTCCAGTTTTCTCAGAGGTTTTTAATCAAATTGAGCCTCTTTTCCTGGGTAATTTATGCTTTCCACCCTCTCAAACGCTGGGTTTTTGAGTTGTATTGCTTCTGAAGCTCACTGGTGTGTTCTTTAACCGATGGCAGATGGGGTTGATGACTGCTGCTTTGTAATGGAGTTTGAAGTCTGGGTCTGCTCTTTAACATTATTCTCCCCATCGTGGGGCCTGGTGCTTTGTGCGTGAATACTCAGTTCCTTCCAGGACGTTCTATCTGACGCAGGTTTGCGGCTGATTTATGCTCTGCCTGTCTGAGAGCCACCAATAGCTTCCCCTCAGGTTGTTGTCCTGTACCAGTGGCCCGTCGTGGCGCAGGCATGGTGCTGGGCTGTGCCAGCAAGAGGGCAAGGCCTGGTGGATCCTCTCTAGCAGCAGAAGCCAAGGACGTGGGCCTGGAGACAGGTTACAGGTCTGACAAGCAGCCCAAATTAGTCTGAGGAACCTAGCCGGGAGCTGGCCACCAGGCAGAGTTCACCAGGGCCACCTTCTGTGGCCTGGAGGCTGATAACTGTGGCCAGTGGAGGGAACGCCTACAACAGTGACATCATATTTTGGAGGATCACACTAATAAGTGATATCTATAGGTTTTAAATATATATACATGTACATACACATATGTATGTATGCAGTCTATGTGTAATATATGTGTATTTTGTATATATGTGTAGATAATACATGATATATGTCAAATTATATAGATAGCTAACTATATATATATTATGTAGATATCTATATAAATATCTAATGATAGATTTAAATCCATGTGTATATACATATATACTGCTAAATAGAGATATTTTGAGAGCTTCTTCATTCAGTTTCTATGTGTAATTAACACATTTCATCTTTCTTTTTCGGAAATTAGAATATCATATTCAAAACCTCTCAAAAACTGGAGTGTCTGAAGTGTCAGATGAACTGGGATCAGCAGGCTCTGGAGGCTTGGTTAGAGGAATCAGCTCATAAAGACAGTGATGCGTTTGCCCTCCAGAAGTACACACAACAAGATGACAGCAAAATCAGGGTAAGTAGAAAAAGCCATTTTGATGCCATTTAAATGTTTTCTCTCTAGTAGTAGGTAGTCAGTTTTTAGATAAAGCCAATAGGAAATATTCAGGAAAACAGGAAATTTTGTATTTGGGACATTTACAGATGTTAACAGTGTTTGTCTACAATTAGTTTAAATATAACATCCCTGTTTTGAAATCACAACTGCCACCAGTTTTTCAGATATTACCAGTTTTACTATTTTAAAATTTTAAGTGAAATAGTACTGTCCAAGTTAGCCTAATTGTATAACTGGGCTAATTGAAAATATAATAGAATGGCCCAAAGAGGCTGCTATGATAATAGTTTTTTAAAAAATCACCAGAATGGAAGTTTCCAACATCATTGGAGATCAAAGGCATAGTAGTGGAACCAACCAAAAAAAACCTTCTGTGGATAATTCTCTTTATGTAACTATCATGACTAGGCTTGTTTTCCAAGGTCCAGCCTACATACCTAAGTGCAGAGCAACTCATCTCCAGTAGGTTGGCTGTTTGGAACTGAATTCTTTGGCCATAACAACCTATGAAATAAGAAAAAATCCAAAATGGCCTCAGTCTCATGACTCTGGCCACTCCCTTTGGTAGAGATGGAGGTGGGAAAGCAGGCCGAGAACACTAAGAGTGCATAACGAAAGCTGTCCTTGGAGAAGCAAATGAAGAAGTCACTGGGGTTGGTTTTATGATGTGAGGAAAGGCAACAGGAAACATAATTTTATGAAATAATTGGTCGTCTTGTTTTGCAGTGATTATGGAAAATAATCACAGTATGACCATCATGAAAGTAAGTGCAGCTTCTGTGCCAACATAAGCACCCTGGGCCATTTAACAGTTTGATCAATGACTTGGATGAGGGCATTGGTGGCATTCTTTACCACCAGATAACATATCACTAGGAAGGATAGCTTACACACTGAGGGATAGAGTGAGGTTCCAAAAACTCTAGAAAGTTAGAATTTGGGGTCAAATCTAATAAGATGAATGAGATGTCCTATGCTTGGGTTTCAGATATTGGATTCACAAGTACTAGATAGGAGAGGTGTGGTGAGACAGTAGTTAGTCTGAAAAAGATGGGGACTTTAGTGGATTTCAAGTTGGTATGAGTCAGGAGGGTGGTATGGCAGCCCCAAAGTTATTGCAACCTTGGGCTGCATTAAGAGAGGAGAAGCATCACTTCTAAGATTGAGGAGGTGGTAGACCTGCTGTTATGTGCCATGGTCAGACAACAGTGGAATTACTGTGTTCATTATTTAGCACCAAATTATGGAATGGACGTTGATAAGCCAGAGAGTGTCCAAGGAGGTAACTGTGATGGGGACAGCCTTGAATTCATGACATATGAGTTGCAGGAACTGGGGTTGTTTAGCCTTGGGGGATGATAGTAGTCTTTGGATTCTTGAATGTATGCCATGTGGAAGAGGGACTAGATTTTTCTGCTTGGCACCAGAAGGCAGAACTGCAAACAATGTGTAGAAATTGCCAAGAGATGGTTTTAGTCTTAATGTCTAGAAAAACTTCCTAACAATCTGAATGATCTGAGAATGGAATGGGCTGCCTTGAGACATAGTTGATTCTCCTTCTTTGGTGGTCTTGGAGCAAAGGCCAAGTAACCATTTGTTGGGTATCTCAGAATTTGTTGTTCATTGTTCAGTCATTTCATTCCCGTCCAACTCTTCATGACCCCATTTGGAGTTTTCTTGGTAGAGATACAGGAGTGGTTTGCCATTTCCTTCTCCAGCTCATTTTACAGATGAGGAAACTGAGGCAAACAGGGTCAATTTGAGTGACTTGCCCAGAGTCACATAGCTAGTAAGTGTCCATGGCCAGCTTTGAACTCAGGAAGATGAGTCTTCCTGCCTTCAGGCCTAGCATTCTATCTGTTGTACCACCCAGCTGCCCTCAAAATGGGGATTTTTTTTTTTGAGTGTAGGTTAAGCTAGATGGTTGCTGAGGTCCTTCTATCCAGAAATTCTACAATTCTGGGAATGACCATTGCAGAATATTAGGTGGAGAAGTTTTATGATGAGCTTGATAAGACCATCCAAATTAAGACAGTCCGTACTCTGATACTCGGGGACTTCGATGCAGAGGTGGACACAGGGGAGGACGGTGAAAGTATGGAAGAAAATCTGGTTCATGAATAAGAAATATGGGAGTCCAAGGCCTCTTAGACCAGAGAAAACTCCCCCCTATAGATCGTGAATGCAGAGAATGAGAAGATCCAGTCCATGGTCAGCACAGAGCAATATAACCAAAAATGAAACCGATTTTAACAGAGAAAAAATGAGGTGTCACTGAGGCAGAAATCATTCCCTTGAGTCAGCATTCTGTGGACAGTCAGGCTGATTATTAGTTTAGTCATTTAGAGTGAGAATGTCCATCCATCTTTTAGTTTTCTGTGTTGTAAATAAATGCCATAGATGATGCTTCATGGGACCCAGGATCTGACAGCTTTCAGGCAGTGAATGATTAACCGTTGATGTTTGTGTGTGCAGGCACTAATTCTCCAAATCGAGAGGCTGACGGTCGAGTGCAACGGGAAACGAAGGGCCCTGGACAGCGAGCTCACCGAGACCATGTCTGCTCAGGTCAGCCTGGCGGGAGGCGCCCCATTCGAGTGCGCGTCCCCCAAGAGCTCCCAGCCTCAAGGCGGCTGTGAGCGTCCGATGAGAGGGTGTTGGTGAAGGGCTTTGGAAGCTATGGCAGCTTTAAAGCGCTTGACAAATGCTTGCTGCTGCCGCCGCTCCTCCTCTTCTTCTCCCTCCTCCTCCTCTTCTCTCTCCTCCTCTT